AGCATTCCCAGCATCGGAGGAGCGTAGATGCTTGAGGGAGGTGGCGGGAACATTATTCTCGGAATCAGATGAAGAAGAAGAAGAATCCGATCGCCAAATCTTCTTATTATTCGCGTGAGGAAGACGATGCAGTCAATTAGAGGAGGCGTACGTAAAGAAACGTCGTCGTTAAAGGCGATTAAGGCTTCTGACTTTTTTGACAGCTCACCAAAGAAAGCCCATATAACAGTATTAAGCCCAATTCACTACTGGAATCCCTGGATCTGTTTCAGACGGTAGAGTAAAGTAAAGAATGAGATAAAGCAGGTGGTATTACAAGTCCCTCCCTCTCTTCTTATTCAATATGGAGAAGCTCTAACTAACTAACCACTTGCTCTCAAAGTTTAACAGGTATCCATCCACCTTCACCAATGGAGCGTAAAAAGTAACATTAACAAACACTTTCCACTTGTTTACTTAGACAAACACAGCATGTGAAACAACAGGCTACTGCTAGCTTAGGTGATGTTCTGAGACATCATTGGTATTCGAGGATCTGCATTCACGAGAACAACGACCGTGTCTTATTGCGTTCCAGTCGAGCTTCCCTCTGAGAAACAAAAGAACACATAGGTAAGCGCAGCAGAGAAGTTGGAAACACCAAAGCCTAAATATTCATTCATTCACAACAACAACCTCTTTCTTCTTGCATTCCTTGTACACATCAAAATGATCCTGGCATTTACTCTTGTCTGATCCAAATTCTTCAAGGCCTGAGAGTTCAATTATGAAATCTAGGGGTCAAACCCGACGTTATCAGTAGATGGGACCTTAAATCTAATCAAGATTTATTACATCATTGTCTACCAAAACCCAATCTCTAAGAAATGGGATTAAAACCCACGACTCTCACCTTAGGGAGAGTAATGAAATAGATGAGATCTAATCAATGCTAATTCCTTATGGAACTCTCATGAAACGTGATATGAATAAAATGGTGTTGAGTAGGGAGAAAACTAAATAGAAATAAAACATCTCAAATCCTATCCTCGAAACAATCAGAAAGGGTGAGATCAGGAGCATCACTCACATTTGAGAGAAGCAGAGTACTGAAGATAACATGGAGAGTCAGATATCCGAGCCGCGCTAGGGTATGCCGCCGCCTCGCCTTTCGTCGCCATTTCCCGATCACCGTCTCTCTCTCTCTCTCTCTCTAGGTTCCGCGAAGATATCTTAATGGAGATGGGCCTTTGAGACACTCAGACTTATATATTCAATAGCGGGCCTTTTGCCCGCCCGGCCCAAAATAAAAGAGCACGGCCTACCCTCCATTTAGTCTAACAACAATCAAAGAAGAGAACAAAGGCTACTCCAGTTCCCGAAAGCAACACTAATTCTAAATACAAGTTGCCACAAAATGTAAGAACACAGCTCTTACATTCATGTTTCACTAGGCAGTCTCTTGTGTACATTATATATATCGCATTTCCTCGGTTGACTCCGGTTACAAGATTCGTCTTTTAAAGCCAGATCTAGGACTCTTGATTACAAATCATCTTGTAGCTGTGTTAGAAGTGCATCGGTCTCATGGGCATCGATTTCACTGTTGTTTTCTGTTCTGTTTTCGTCCACATCAATAAGAGCTTGGTAAGCTTTGTCTTCAAGATGCCCCGACTGCCTCAACAATTCCAAAACGGCCTCTTTACTGGTAACATCCGATTCCTCTTCACAGAGCTTGAAAAAACCGGACAGCATCAACACCTTGGGCCTCCAATTGCTGGACCCTTCAGCCGAAAAAGCTTTTCTCAGACAAGTCAAAGCCTCTGGAATACACCTCTTTCTGGTATGACCATCAGCTAGAATCTCCCACGTACTTGAACTTGGTTTTCCTCCCATTTCAACCATGTGGTCGAACAACCCCTCAGCTTTCTCTAGTTGGTCGTTTTTGACATACACATTCATCAGAAGATTTGGTATCCTGGGGTCATAAGAAGACTTGACTGGAAGCCATTCCTCATATACCTTCTCGGCCCCTTCAATGTCCCCCATCCTAGCCAGCGACGAGACCAAGGCATGGTAACCCAAATTGGGAATGCTCGGGACAACAGATTTGTAGACGTTCCAGACCCGGTACAGCTCTTTCTTGTTACCAACGCTGCCATACAAACTCAAGAGGTAGTGATATGGAATGCGATTACGACCAGTAATCCTTGCTTCAACCTTCCTCAGTGCATCTTCGGCTTTCTCAGTTTCACCCATCTTTATGTACATGGTGGCCATTGTGCTAAAGGTGGTCCAGTTGGGATTAATGGAAACATCCGATTTCATCTGCTGATACACTAGTTCCATTTTCTCAACTGATCCTAAGGAGCCGCAAGAGGAGAGCCAGATGTTGTAGGAGTAAATGTCGAGACGTATATCTTTCTGCTTCATCTCGAAGACCATTGCGTCGACTTTGTCATACTCCCTAAGGTTCATGTAGAGAGTCATCATAACGTTGAAGGGAAGCGGGTGCAGGGCGTATCCTTTGTCCCTCATGGTGTGGAGCAGGGCTTCAGCCTTTTCTCTCGACTTGGCCCTCACATAGGCATTGAGGAGGGAACCATAAACTCTCCGGTCCTTAAAATTCTCAGGGAGCGTGAGGAAGAACTGTTCGGCGTCTGAAATGCCACGCACTTTGCCGATTAAGTCGAGCTGGATTGCAGCATCACTTGCAGACAATCGAAACCTTTCACCTCTGTTGTTCATCCAGTCGTACACCTACGAAAACGAAACGAGATCAAGAGATACACAATCAAGAGAGCACATGAAACGCGAGGAGGACACGGACCTCGAGAGCTTGGTTGGGACGCTTGTACTTGCGAAGCTCCTTGACGACCCGACAGAGCTCCCACTTGGTAAGCTTGCGGCCGCCTTTCTCCCACTGATTCAAGACGGAAGCAGCGCCAAGCTCTGGCTTCTCCATGAGAGAAATCTTCTTGTAGATGGCATTCCACTGGACAATCGGCCTTCTCTCGTAGTCAACCGTGCCGTAGCCATAGACCTGGGAGATGGAGCACACGATTGCTGCCGTCTTCTTCGAGAGAGCTACGGAGAGGACAGGAGATCTGCAGCGAGGGAGACGGGAGTAGGAGGCGGAAGAAGCCAGTGGAACATTGCTGTTCTGCACCGCCGCCGGAAGAAGCATCTCGTCGTTACTCGTTAGGTTTCGGATAAGTCGAAGCGAATGATTTGTTTTCCTAAACGAAAAGAGGGAAAAGACAGAGGGGTAAACTGGTAAAAACTAATTAAAAGGACCAATCAATTCAATCGTGACGTAACTCAAGGGTCAAGGCCCAAAGGCTAATGATGCTACTAGATGTATTTGTTTTTTTTTTTTGATAAAAACTGGATGAATTATACAAGCGAGAGTTAAAACAGTGAGTGCATGCATCTCCGTTACATTACATCATGTCCTCTCTGAGGATGCTACATCGACCCAAAACATTGTCTCCACTTGTTGGATTGCCTAACATCCAGGCCATTTCATATGAAAAGGATCTTCCTTCTTCATATCCCGGTGCACGTATACTTTGGCTTTTTTTACCTGCAATTCAACATTATATTACATTCCATTCCATGCACCTACTTTGATGAAATACTAGCCTCACCCCAGCCGATTTACCAGGACAATGGGAGGGAAACCTCGCCGCAGCTCAAGTCTCTCAAAGCCTTCTTCATAAAACAAGCACTTGTATCCATCTACAGAGGAGTGCTCGCTGCACCAAGCATGACAACAGAGTATTACATGTTGACCACCAGTGGTATCTTTTTTTTTACTACGAATTGCTTTCTATTATATGATGAAATACTCACTTCACCAGGTACGTGAAATTTCGGTTTTGCAACTCCTCCACTACTATCTCTTCTTCTTTTGAGTATCTGCATTGCAGAAGAAAAATTTATCTCCTCCTAATTAGTTAAACAGATACCCTCTTTTATGTATTCAAAGGCAATGGAGAATGATCCCCTTTCCAACAAAGTGATATTCGTATCCAAGAAAATGAACATGAAAAACAAACAGTTGCCTTCATATGGGTGCTTCCGAGTGGCAACTTTTTTCCATGTACATTGATATTTCCTTTACTTTTACCAACCCTAAAACGGAGGTAGGACAGCTAACATACCTCCACGGAAAAGCATCTTCACAAAAGCGAGATATTCCATTCATCGCACCAAAAGTGTCTATGTGAACCCACTCTCCTCCAGCTACATTTGCAGGATGGCCTGAGAAACATGGAAGGCACCAAGTAAATTAATCAAATTGTAGGCAAATTCTCAACCAGAGGTAGATGAACACCACAAAATAAAGATGATTACACATCTTTTATGGCATGGGGACAAACAAACACTGACCAGCATATGTTTCTTGTGTGGTACCCAAGTCAATGCTGCTGCATTAATAAGAAACCCCCATAACAGAATAAGTCACTCACCTATCTGATGCAAGCGATTCAAAGCATAGCCGCTAGGATAATTGTAGTAAGATGCCATGAATGTTACAAGCGTGCATCCTGCACTATATAACTAGGTTAAGTAGACTAGCAAATCTCTTTTCTTCTCTTCCATGGCAAAGATAGTTGCTTACTGTTTCTACCTGATTGCAAAAAACGCTAGCATAACCATATTCACCAGTTTCCAAATCGTTTTCTTCCTATTATTGTAGCTGTACAACAAAATCGGATTATATTAAGAGGTCGGGCCTTGTTAGTAGTAATTTAAAGTGGCATTCAGAAATTAAGTGTATCCAAAGAGCACTTAAGATACTGAATAAAAGAAAGTCCTAGCTATGATTGAAAGCTTAGCTCGCAAACATCTGATAGAACTCATACATTCTGCTAGCAGCAACTGCAGCAGATAAGTTGAACATTGGCACTGAACTAATGATAAATCGGAGTTCCTGCATATATCAAGAAAGATAGGTAAGCCTATGTCAGAAAATGGTTAAGAAACGTTGATGGCTACTGAGATAAGTAATCCATCTGAATACCTTGTGTGGAAGTTTAGAGTATAGTATAACGAACGATAAAACTGGAAGAATAAAGAATGGAACCCTCCTGTCAACTAAAGTACCAAGCTGCATAAAAAGAAAACAAATGAGAAGTTATATAGAGATACAATTAGAGATCCAAACTATAAAGGAACAAGAAAAACACTATCACAGATGTTAAGAGGTCTGGATTTTACCAATGAAAGTGGATAAGCTACAAGTAAAGACCGTGGGAGTGCCGAGGTGAAGTACCAATGTATGGAATGTGTCTAGTTTAGCAACTAGTTTTCAAGGAACAACACATAATTTCTTAAAATTGCAAGTGCCACAATATTAAACTTTGAATTGGAAATTCCAAATGGTTATTATTGTAAAGAACGCAATCCTTTAATCAGGCAGTAGAAAAATGCTAGAACATTATGCATCATACAAAAAATAAATAAATTGAGGAAACAAATTTTGAAGGATACACCCCAGTCAGAGCTCCGGTTTAGAATGGAGTTAAACCAGAAAACTTCAAATTCTGGCCAGACACACTTCTTCCACATGATAGAGTCAACCGAAATGGTAAGACCTGTCCCAAGGAATATTCCATGACCACAAAAAACTGACTCGGGAACCAGTGTCTGAAGGGAAAGAGCAAATAGATCACAGAACGAAGAGGAATTTTTAACCAACCTACGGCCAACAGAGCGGTTCCAACACAATACTTAAGTGCTTTCCAGAAGGAGATCGATTTGGTCTGTCATTGACAAACGTAAAGCACCCGCATCAGATGGAACGAAAAAGTACACGGCCAATTATATATATCCAGAAGTCCATAACCCAAACTATTTAATATTCGTCACCAGCTCACCAATAAAAGTTCAAGACCAATAGGCCCAAGTAGTAACATCGTATCGCATCTGAGGATTACAGTGGCAAAAATCTGATTATCGGATAAAAGAGATGTCAGCAAACCCATAGTTGTGGAAAACAACACCCTGATATTATAGATTTAAATAATCGGGAAAATATGTTACCACGAAGATAATACATACCAGGAAACTCAAAGCTGGATAAAAGTTTCCCTTTAACCAATTACCATATGCCAGATTAACTGCAAAATCCGGATTTCACAACATTAGCAGCACATAATAAGGCCTAGGCTAGATGGGACATGGGAAAGAGTGCTAGGACATCCCATTACTAGTAGAGTCAGATGAATAGAAGTAATTACCTAATCCCAAAGCTAGAATATTAGGTAGAGGACGAG